CCCACTTCCATAATTTTCTATCTTCAATTTACTTCTCAATATACTTTAATTTCATTTATGAATCAGCCCATTAATTCTAAAGAACTTTAATTTCAAACTCTACCCTTTGATTAAGCTACCGAGAAAGGTGGGTTAGTCACATTATTCTTTATGAATAACCCTGTAGAGAGGGGGCATTTTTCTGGAATGAAGTAGATAGTGATATGGAAGTTAACAGTATAAATTTAGCGGTTGGAGGCTCTAGAGCTGTACCCATAGGAGCCAGGAGCCTTGTCAATCCCATTTTTGTGTGTGCTTGTATAAGTATTTCCATGCATTTTATATCAGTTAGGAAACCTGCCTGACCTTGCCTCAGAATTATGCATGTAAATGCTTTCTTTTGAAAGTCAGTCAGAGCTGAAGAAACTTGTTGGATGAGAAGTGAAATGTCTTCAAAGAGAAATGGGAAGGTCCAGTTGCCTCTTGAGGGAGCACCTTTGGGACACCCATGACCTGAATGACTGAGAATCTCCATAGACACTTTCTTTTGAAAGAATGAAGGCATTACTGTGCTCAATCTGCTCACTAGTTAGTAAAAGGAGACATGACATTAATTACCTTAAAACAATTGTATTCACAGATAGTCCCTGGGTTGCTACAGCAGTTGGGACCAGGAATTCCATTGCTAAGCAACATGGTCATAAACATCATGTGAGCCCACCATTTAGCAATGGCAATTCCAGCAGTCCCAGTTGCCATAACTAAACAAGACCTCTGCAAATGCTTCAACTGCTGACTTCCTGTTAGTTTCTTTGTTGACTTCACTTGTTGGAAATTGGCAGGGAACATCTGAAATTGCAATCGGGTGACCACAGCTCACTGAAACATAACTGCAAGCACCAAATCACAGTTACATGGCCACAGAGATGTTGGGACAGCCAGAACTCCAGGGCCATTGTAAGTCCCACTTATTCAGTGTCATTGTAACTTTGAATGATCGTGATCATCACTCAAGCTTCATCTATATTTTGATGGTTTATTGTTATGTGAATAGTAGACGTAGTAACCCTGAGCACCTTCAGGATCATGGAAGATGAGGAGAGGAGTTTAAACTTTTTCTGCTATCAATCCACATAAAAAAGTAATTTTCTGAAACTGCTGCTTGCACTTCAAGGAATTCTCCTATTGATGCCTTCAATGGAAGTGTCTCCAATAAATAAAAAAGTGCCATAATTTCTTGCTGAAAATGGCTCTCAGTGGCTCTGTACTATTTTAAAACATTTTTCTCTTCTGTATGTGCTAAATATTTAATGTTAGATATACAAAGTGTCTGTACCAGTGGTGGGTTTCTCTCGGTTCGGCCCAGTTTGGCTGAGCCAGTAGCGGTAACAATATGACGTCACTGAACCGGTTCTCTTTGTTTGGGAGCTGGGCCCTCCAGCCCTCTACCCACATTATTCTTACCTTTTATTTGGCCCCGCCCCAATCTATTCACTGCCTCCCAAGTCCCAGCTGATCAGCTAGAAAGAAAAAAACTGTTTAAACTCTTGCCCTGGGGCTTCAAAGGGCCGCCCTACAGCTGATCAGTATTAAAAGGCAGTGTGGTGGTAGATCAGTGTGCTCGAAAAACAAATAGGTAGACCAGTGCCTCCAAAAACAAATGGGTAGACCGGTACAGCTCTGCAAGCAGTTAAAAGCCTGGTAGACCAGTACTTCTGCTAAATCCTAAAGAATTGTCATATGACCATCAAACCACGCCCACAAAATAAGCCACACCCCCAAAACCAGTAGTAAAAATTTTTAGAACCCACTCCTGGTCTGTTCAAAGAAAACTGGTAGGCAGACATTAGGTCCATCTAAACCAGAGATGGCGCAGAATCCTTGCTAATCAGATCTGATTGAATCCCGTGGTTAGAAATGAATTGATGATGGATTTTTAGAAACAAGATTTAACACAATATAGAAAACAGAAACAAAGTAATTAAATTAAATTCTAATATATAGAATTTCAGTATTTGTATCATAAACGTCAATAACTGGCAGAATATTTGGATTCTGGATTATTATTGTGCATTCCAGACTTGGCACACTTCAGGATATATTAGATCTAGTATAGCATACAATATTTTAATATTTAAGTTTTTTTTTTTTTACCTTCTGAGAAGAGAGATTGAAAAACAAGTTTGAGATTGAGAATTCCTGGTTTGAAAAAAATACCCACTTGTCGGAACTTGTAATGTTACAATGATCAGAATCAATGTCTGTCTCTCTTTCTCAATGAAACATTTCACATCACTTATAATCTTTATGTATTCCACTAATATTTTTATCCTTGCCTGTTTGGTGTTTCATATGATTGATAATTTAAATCGTATGATTTAAATTCTGCTTGGGAAAAATGAATCATTGTTATTTTTTATTTCATATATTTATTAGTCAAATTTATATGACTGCTCATATAGATTAATTAAATCATATAAGTTTTGTTTTTAAAACTGGTTATCCAGGATGTAAACATAATTTGAGCTCATATGACAAAGTGGACTATGAAATCTCCGTAATGAAAAGTTTGTGATAACACAATACAACTTGACAGTTTTATATATTATTAATTTTTGCTGAAGTTTAAAAATGTCAGTATCATACACTAACAGAAAGAAATTATATACACTGTATGTATTCATAAAATGGTATGAAATTCAAGTTTAAGAATCACAACTATAAAAAAAGCAAGGGGAAGAAAAAAAATGATAAACAGATCTGTAGCATTCTGTTAACTTCCTGATTCCTGATAATTCCTAAAAAAATAGGAGAGAAATAGAAGGGGTAAAAACTATCTAGAAAAGTAGGGAGAAAACACCATAATGTCACTTTTTTTTTAATCTTTGGATTGGGCAGATTCTCTCTAATTTTTCCCTCCTACTCCATGCCATTTATCTGTAAAAATGCAAGGAAAGAATACAAGTTAATAAAACTTCAGAAATTCTAAAAGTTTGACATAGCCGTCTCAGAACAAAATGTTTACTTTCCAAACCTGTGTAGATCTAGCCCTGAAGTGTTATTGTTTGCATAACAGCATTGGTATTTGTTACTATCTACACAAATAGTATGATAATATTTCTGTCCAATTACATGGTTCCCCTATTTTATTTTATTTTGTTTTGTTTTGTTTCCTTCAAAGTAATTATGCACAGAGTAGTAATTGTGACTTATATAGGAGTTAGTGGTTTGTTTGATTTTCTTGGATAGAGATTTATAAAGGTAGGCTTTTTAAACAAAATCCTGGTTGTTATTCTCCTTAAGTATAAATAAGAAATCAAGTTTATGTGTGTATTTATAGTTGATCCATTGGAGCATGAATATGGAACACCCTTGGGTAAGCAGCTGTGAGAGCTCTCATTATGAGCTCCTGAACATAATCATTTAAAGTTACATCACCATTATTGCTTGCCACAGAAAGGAAACCCATTAGAGCAGGGCCAGAGCAAAGAAAGTTGGAAAATTTCAGTCAATGATACAAGACAAATAATACAGCGATATATAATGATACCAGACATAAAACATTGGATTCAGGACATTAGCTCAAAATGCAGCAGCCAGATTACTGGCACAGCAATCCTGGCATTACAGGATAACACAGACTTTGGGTTCACTGCAGTAATTACCAATAGGCTTCTGAGCCCAATTCAAATAGGATGTGATTAAAAAGCTGTAAGGTGAAACATTCCACTCGAGTATCAGGCCTGCCTTGCCAAATTGAGTTTACCCATCCAGTTCAAATATCTTGAGGGAACTTGCAATTCGAATTCCATGAAACATCAGTTAGATGGAAGGCCTCCTCTGCAGAGATTCCCATTCTCTGGAACATACTTCCCCTGGGGATATGTGTAGTACTAAATAAGTGTACCAAATATCTCATTTTTCTTTGTTTGTTGGCCTTTATGAGGTTTCTCTAAGATTTCAAGGTTTTTTTTACCTTTTATGACTCCAGAGAATTTTCAACATTCTCCTTAAAAGTCACATTACAAAGGCTGTTCTTACCCTTCCAGGATACTATCCATGTTTCATGTCGTAAAGAGAATTGACTAAAGATAGCATTTGGTCATTCTTAATTTAAATTCTTTCCCCTTGAGGTCACAATATTACTTAGTTCTTTAAATGTTTTCCTGCAATTTATGTTGATAACTCATCAGTTTTTCCATTTGCCCTGATTAAGTGTTCAAGATAGACAAAGTTTTGGCCTTGCTGGAGGAACAACATTGATGTTTTTTTATTTGGGGAGGGTCTTTCTTCCCCAAGATTATTATTACCTTGGAGTTTTTTATACTTGCATTGAGATCTCCCATAGCCATTGGGATATTCATAGCCTTTACTAAAGAAATGGCTTTTTGTATTGTGTCATAAAAGTCTTCTAGTTCTCAGTCTGAGTGGTCTCTTAAGGTACATAAATCTGTAATTTTATTATACTGAAGGATTTGGCTGCAATTTTGATCATGATTAGTCTGTCATTTATTGGCCAAAAGCCCACTGTTGCTTACCCTTTGTTCCTTTTCATGACAAGTGATTTTTGATGAGAAGTACCACCACAATAGAGTATTGTATGTTTCTCCCTCTGTATCTTTCTATTTCCTGCCCTTCTTTCTTTTTGTCATGTATATTTAATGTGTATAATAATATGAAATGTCAGTTGATTCTTAATGCCAAAAGAACTGTTCAATGATCACAGATCAGTTGTGTTCTACTAAATTATGCTGACACTGCTTGAAACTAGTACTGTGGAGCCTAGTGGAAAAGAAATGTGTATGATTCAGATAATGTAAATCTTAAAAATTGATTTGATTTGATTTGATTATATTTTTATTCTTATAATAAGAAACAAATAATAGTATTAACTATAACTGGATAAATTACCCTGTGATAAGATGGGCTGCCAATAAATGTAATCAATCAATAAATAATAAAGTAAAAATAGTTATGTGTACAATCTGTAATTCTTACATGCATTTTTTTCTTTCTTACAGGAAGTTTTATTACATCACTCTGCTAAGGGATCCTGTGTCCCGTTATCTCAGTGAATGGAGGCATGTCCAACGAGGAGCTACCTGGAAAACATCCTTGCATATGTGTGATGGCCGGACACCAACCCCTGAAGAGCTGCCATCATGCTATGAAGGCACAGACTGGTCAGGCTGTACTCTTCAGGAGTTCATGGATTGCCCATATAACTTAGCTAACAATCGACAAGTGAGAATGTTGGCTGATCTAAGCTTGGTAGGCTGCTATAATATGTCCTTCATACCAGAAAACAAGCGAGCACAGATACTGCTGGAAAGTGCCAAGAAAAATCTCAGAGACATGGCCTTTTTCGGCTTGACAGAATTCCAGAGAAAAACACAGTATTTGTTTGAGAGAACTTTCAATCTAAAATTTATCAGGCCATTCATGCAGTATAATAGCACAAGAGCAGGTGGAGTGGAGGTGGACACCAAGACCATACGGAGAATTGAAGAACTTAATGACTTGGACATGCAGCTATACGACTATGCAAAAGACCTCTTCCAACAGCGCTATCAGTACAAGAGGCAGCTGGAGAGGATGGAGCAGAGAATAAAGAATCGGGAAGAAAGGCTTCTTCACCGATCGAATGAAGCACTTCCCAGGGAAGAGACCGAAGAACAAGGACGGTTGCCTACCGAGGACTACATGAGCCATATTATAGAGAAGTGGTAGCATTGAAAGAATTTTATACAAAAAAACCAAGATATTAGTGTTTCCATTACAAAAGAACATGGAATTTAAAAAAAAACTTATTTAAAACAATCTGTAAAACAGAAAGTAGAATGCTTCTTTAAACAAAGGGTCTTTTTACTGTTTCTTACAAGACCAATGGGGTTCTTAATAAAACAAAATAAAAATAATAAAAAAGTGAGCTCAGAGTTTAAAATGCACAAGTGTAGTCCCCTAGATCTGAGGCCAAATATCACCTCATATTTCATCTCTTATATGCAGATCTAGACATCATAGAGAGCAGCTTTGTACCACTCTTCTCCATCGGCAATGGCAAATGAGCTTCAAAGAATCAGTGTTTTCCTCCCTTGTCTATATGAGATGTTCAGTGGTGAACATCACAATAATGGCAGTGAACCTGCCACACAGTGACTTGATCCCAGATCCAGCTGCTTGACTTCAGATTGAAATCATGGCTAAAACAAAGGCAGAATATATAACCAACAGCAGTCAAACTAAAAGGAAATTTTAAAAATAGAGAATAAGAAACATTCAGCAAACAAATTACAGCCTGGACTACGAATTGGGGACTGAAGTTTGGATTACATGGCACTGGTGTTTTGCATGCATACATTCACATTCATACATTCTACATTATCAAAACAACTGGTGAATCTGTGCATACATTTTCTCAGCCTTTGTTAAAGAGAGAATTAAATCACTTGTAAAACTAACTGTAAGTGATCTTGTCACAAAGTGGTAAAAAAAATGGTTTGCTAGAGAAAGACTGGCTGTGTATCACTCCAATAAATTTAAAGAATATGATCAACTGAGGCCAACATATCCCATGCAAATTCTAAATTTATCATTTGGTTGTTCTTTTGCTCATGATGGAAAATATTCTTCCCCTCTGTTTGGATGTTGATTTAATAAGACACAGTTATTATTCAAAGTGATCATTCGTTATTTGGCATTACATATTGTCCATCGCTGTATAGTGACTGCTATACAATAAACATTAGATCATTATAAGTCCTAGGTCAAATGAGGCTAACTTAAAATTTAATGAAGTAATTCATCTCCACTGATTGATGTCAGAGAGATTTAGATGCAACTAATTTTCACTGGATAATATCTACTATGTATGGGAGTGCTGATGTTAAATTTAAGACACTGCATTGCACCAACACATCGCAGCACTTGGCTGATCATGTCTGAGCTGAAAACCTAAGCAGGCTCAGGATTTAGGAGTGTGATAATATTAGAGGATACTAGGGCTTTAGACTAGATTAGAAAATTGGAAAAAAAATAATCCCATAAAGGTGGCACTTCCACAGTATTACCAAAAACAAATCTTGCGTGGACGTGTCCATGAAGTCATTTGCTTACTTGAAGGAGACTTTACTTGTCTGGCTTGCTTTCTCATTTTTAAGCAAACAAGAGAACTTGTAAGGCTAGAAGTGTTCAGTTGTTCTCACTTCAAGCTCTGATTTTATAAGCCTTATACTTATTAAGCATTAAAAAAAAAATCACAATGCCATACATTTTTTTTCTTTTTAAAAACATCCAATTATCATTTACTGTTTCTCCAAAAACCTATGTCTCTTTATTTTCTAAACACTTTTATAAGTTTTTAAACCGTTTTATAAAATGAGAGTCTGAAGGAAACCAAATTGTGTTTGTCATTATGACTTATTGTTTCTGTTCTCTTGGATACTGAGTTAAATAGTATTTGAATATGAAGGTTGACAGCTGATTCTCAAAGATCAGGCACACTCTGCATCATAGAGAGAAGCTAGTACATTTGTTCCACATGGTTTTCAGCACAAGAAAGTATGGAACTTCCTTGTGGTTCCATATCTCAATATAGGTAGTACTTGACATAGAGCTATTCATTTAGCAGCCATTCAAAGTTACCAAACAGGGACTTAACACCTGGCTCTTCCATTTGCAACCTTTGTAGCATTCTCCAAGGTCATAGCATCAAAATTCAGGCACTTAGCAACTGGCATGTATTTACAAAAGTTGCAACGTTCCAGAATCATGTGATCACCATTTGCAACCTTCCAAGCTGGCTTCCAACAAGCAAAGTCAATGTGGGAAATAAGATTCATTTAAAGAATGAATAATTATTTAACAATGCAATGTGATTCACTTATTAATGCAATGGTTCGCTTAATAACCATAGCAAAAGGTAAACTTGGGTGTGACTTACTTAACAACCGTCTTGCGAAGCAACAGAAATTCTGTTCCCAATTGTGGTCGTGAATCAAGGACTTGATGTATTCTTTCCCACAGTTCTCAGTGTCTTCATGTCTTACAATTTGGTCTTCTTCCTAAGGAGATAACCTAATTAAGCAACCTATTATATATGCTCAGCTTGCTGCTTCTATGTTCCATCCACAGGACAGTGAGAATTATTTAGAGTGATAACAGAAGGAAAACTTGATTTAAACTTAACTTTATCCATCTATTTCAGTGTTTAACACAAGTACCAAAGGACCTGTAATGATCTACATCCTGAAAAACACGCTATTTCTTAAATACAAATATTTGGCAGCTCAGTCAGTCCAAAGGTTTTCTGCTGTATTTGAAAAAGCCCTTTCATATTCACAGCTCATCAAAACTAAGCATTTGAATATAATTGGGGTGGGGGAGAGACTTTATATCCCTAAATCTTAAATTTAGGGATTAACGACAGTCTGCTAATTCTCTGGAAAACTCTAGACTTTTGTAACAAATAAAAAAACTTTTTAAAATGATCTGTCTGGAAAAACATCTGCGGCTTTTGACATGCAGAAAATGGACCTTTACCCAGAGTGTTGTACTGTGTTCATCACTATGGTCTCACAAAAATGCGCTGCAGCAACTAATCAATATGCATAGTGTGAACAGCAGAGAGCCTGTTCTATTAGGCTTTGTATGACAAATAGCAACTTTCTAGGGCTTCTTCATCGTGTGGGTTAAGATAAAAGGAAACTAGTTTTTTTGTGTGTTTAAATTTAATTTCCACAACAACCTGGATAAAAAAACCTTAATGGATCTGCCTGTGATAATAGGCTTCCTCCAATATTTTTGTTTGCTGTTTTTATAAGTAAAAGCTAAGAAAATAAAAACTACTGAATATTATTGTCAGCTTCAGCGCCAAAGTGAGTGAGTGTGTGGTCATTTTATGCTTAGATCACAATATAGGTTCTTGCAGCAGAGGGAAATATCAATTTCATGGCCTGTTCAGTTAAGTTGTCTTCCCAAATTTTGCTAAGATACAGTATTATACTATTACAAAGACATTTAAGTTATTCAAAATAATTTGGACTAAAGCATATAAGTTGGACAAAAAGAACAAACTACAAAGGCAAAGAAGCTGTGATTGGGTATGAGAAATAGAGGAAATCAGTCCAGGATTTTAAAATTATTATAAGGACAATTATAAGGATATAGGGGGGGGAAATGTGGGTGGGACTCTTAACACTAAATGTGACTGTTTAGAAGAATTCATTAACATCATGGGAAGAAATTTTATATTGAGTATTATTTGATGTGTGACCAAATAGTTCAAGAGCAGATCAAAGATACTGTAAAGAAAAAACATGCTTAGTTTAAAATCCTTTAGCTACAATATAGCAGGAACTTTTGGGGTAGCTCCTGTTGTGTCTTTTCAACCTCCATATCATCTTCTGAACTTTCCTTAACTCTGACAGGAGTAGTTTATAATGTCAGCAGTGCTGGTGCTGTGGGAGTCTAGAAAACATCTCCTCTAGCTATTTAAAATCAGCATGCTTACTTAGTCAGAGCAATCCCTACAGAAGAAATGCTATAAACATTTCCAACAGCACACATCCTTCCCCCAGCACTCCCTATTGTTCCAGGACATTGGCTCCGGACTTATAGCAAAAGAGACTTTTGCAGTACCAGCCAGCACATTAGCTCAATCTTCATTGAAATTACTTAAGAAATTGTTTTCTGCAGAAGCCTTCTGAAATGAGAACTGAATGGGGATTTGTGGAATGGTTCTGAGGCCATAAGCCAGCTAAGTATTTTTCATATAATACAATGTATTAGATTTCTTGTCAGTTTATTATGACTGGAAGATCCTTTCCAGAAACAGGTATAATTGACAAAGCTTTCCAACTTGGAGTACACTGGGATTAGATTGATGGCAGCATTCCCTAGTGAAATTTCTTAGCAGAGAAGAGTAATTACAAAAGATGAATTAACCAGTTGAATGATTAGTGCTCCCTCTGTTGTTTTGGGACTCTATTGTGATATCTGCACTCAGTCTTGTGTTCTTATAGGAAATCAGCTCCTAGCCCTGACAATGAAAACAAGCAATTTCAAAAGTATGTACCTCTAGTATACCAGTTGCTGGGTAACAATAGGAGTTGACTTTTCTAGAATTATCTTGGGTTGGCATAGGATTTGCAGAATGATTATTAGGAAAATTTAACAAAAGGAAAATCTAGTGGTTTTCCTCCATTTTTGGCATGGAAAATTATTAGCTCATTGTACTTGTGCAAGATTTCTCTTACCATCTTTATTAAATACACTGAAATGCCAAATTCTAAGAGTTTGGATATGCCTGGTCTTGTAACCAATTTTTAAAATCTACAGAGAATTGTCTTGGAAATTATAGCACTAGTGGGGAAAGAATAGCTTCAGCCAACCCAACCCTCTGTAGCTGCAGTATAATTGCATCTAGAGAATGGGGTTGAGAATGATTGACAAGAATAAAGCATGTACATAACAATTTTAAAAGATTATGCAGAAAGATACTGCATCTTTTTAAAAAAGATTTTGTTACATTATTTGAATGGGGATGTGGAATTGCAGAGTCATGGCAGAACAAATATATGTTGCATATATGTGCTCTAACTAACAGAGTATATGGAAGAGTAAGACCAACATTAACAAGGATCAATATGGCTAGGCAAGGGAAGCCATGGTTCACTGGTAGAGTATATGCCAATGCCAAGTTTATCCCCAAGTGTTTCTACTTTAATAATAAAAAAGACCAAATAGTAATTTTAAAAACTTTTGCTTAAAAGCTGAACGCCAGCCTAATAAATTCCTACATTTCCCATCTAGTGTATACACATATACCATCATGTTCTCAAAACAAATTCGTTTTCTGAATGCAATATTATTTGACTTTTCTTTAAATGCAATAGCAATTTCTTGCAATGAAACCCCATTAGGCTTCCAATTGTGCAAGCGCGAAGAAAGTTGCTTGAAACTATTACACTAAATGCAAAGGACTGCCAAACATCCATGCTATTACATGAGGCTGAATTTACATTGCTTTTTTTACAATTAGAAATACAAGATTTTTAAGATGAGAGGCAAAGGGGCATCAGGAGGCCACTGCAAGATCTTTATGAGTTTAGGCTCTCTTCCAGTTTATGTTTGACATATGCAATTCACATTCACACAGATTTCTCCAATCCACTCTGATCCTTCACCTGAAACACTATAGATATGACTAGCAGTATGTTGTGCTAGTCTAGCTTTGAATGCAAAGGGTAGGTTTGAATGTCCCCTTTAGTTCTAAAGCATCTAAATTAGAAGTGAATAATTTTACATTTATAGATGATTCACAAATTAAAGATAGTTTTGACAGGCATGTGTTGCTAACTTGAATACTACGTCCTCTACTGTCTTCAAATCCATTTGAGCCATGCAGTTCTTTATAATACCTGGAAGGTAACAGAAGATGCAACGTTTCCCATGATTGGGCATAGGATATCATTAGAACCATTATTCTTTTTGTTGTTGCTCACATTCCATTAATATGGACAGGTTTAAAATTTTGTGTGTGTGTGTGATATTAAAGCAAAGAGGAGTTGGCCAGCCAAATGATTGTCTCCAAGAGTGGGCTGCATGCATTCATAGGCTGATCGATTGAGGTTTTCCTCTCATCGAGCTTTTATGTTAATATCTTTGTTTTCTAATAAATCCTGAAGCGGATCATGGGGAAGTGCTCCACCGTGTGATTCCCTATCCCATTCTGTGCCTATAGTTCCTGCTTTTTCTCCTCTACCTTTTTCTCAGGTGCTCCCTCCTACATGCTGAATTTGAGTGCTGAGCTATGAAAAATTATTGTTGAACTTATTTTCAAACAATGATTTGTTTTGTACATGTTGGAATATGTTTTAATTTATTTGTGTTGCTGATTTGAACTGATTTTCAACTGCGTGTTACAAACTCATTTTAGTTTCAATATCTATGTCAATGCCTCCGCAAATTCTGGTGAGTGCTAGTGCTTCTATCAGCACAACTGCAGTTGAGTGAGATATCATGTTACGTGCTTTATGCAAACTGCTTTTAATTTCACAAAGATGTCTAAATTGCATTATGAAACTGATGAACAAGCTATTCCCAAGGAACTATTTCCTCTCCTTTCTTTGGGTGACTTTGTCCAATAAACTGGTACTTGGATCTTTCCAGGCTCCATTTTTCTCTCCCATTTAAGATCTCAAACAGGCTCTTCTTATTAACACTGAGAACATCTACCTTCAGACCATTATTTTCCAATGGACCGACTCTGTAAGATCTGCATGTTTGCTGCAGAAACTAAAAGCAATGTTTAAATTGAATCAAATAACTTCTTTATATATTTATTTATAGCTTCTTTTTTAAAAAATGTTACAAAGAGAAAGGATTGTGTTCCTTTTCTTCATCTCAGTAACTATTACAAAAACAGACAAAACAAAATAAAAGGATAGTCACCTAATTGTTTCTGTCTAGATCAAGACTGGACCTTAGCAAGTTAAATAAAGCGTACAGAAAGATTTTTGGCCTGTTGTTATATTTTGAGATATGTGCATTCTCATTGCTGTGTCTATGTGTATGTTCCATGTCATTGAAATTCTAATTCCCTTTGATCTGTTCCATGGGAAGAAAATTGTTCTGAGTTTGTGGGGGGAAGGGAAATAAACCTATTATAAATCTTCCTTGAAAGGGGGAAATCAGAAGTAAACAGTGTCTACTTTAATTTTCAGATTATAAATCATTATTAATCATTAGATTCTACTATTAGTAGAATAGTAGAATAGTAGAATCTACTACAAAGGAACTCAAATTTGGATTTGACTATTTACAAGCCTATTGCTTTATTTGTATGTTAAATTATTACAATTTAAAAGCAGTTTTTAGAAAAATCTTAGCCTAACCAAATCATGGAGCCTGCTTAGCATAACCTGACTTAAATTTTCAAGCTTCCCCATGAAATGATGCAACTATTTATTTTATGGAAAAAAAATATGCATGACAACTCCTGAAAGATGGCTCAATATCCAAGGAAGCTATAACACACCTATGCTTTCTGTTGGTCAATTTAAAAAGGAAAAAAAGAAGAACATCCCAGCAAGATATCATATATCATGGACATGTTAGCATCTCCAAAACAAGAAATTAATCTCTCTCCTGCTGTTCTGGCTGACAAAGCTTCTAAAGAAAAAATGCCTGTGGAGGCAGAGGCTGCTTCTACCGCTCTACAACCCAAAGTCTCATTAGTATGAAACCACCATCTGGCTTGCACTAATGGTTACCATAAGCTCTTTGCACAGGAACAAGAATCAATTAATAGCTGCTACTAGATACTTTCAGAGGAGGGTGCCCACACCCTCCCTTACTAAAAGCTCCCATTGGGACCAAGCACTGATTTCTGGTGAAAAAGTAACATATACTTGCTGTGCAGTATCTAATCATATTTCATAAGATCACAGACTAAAAGTCAAAACAATTTGCTTCAGAAAGAGATGGTATTTCTAATAATGCTAGGCTTTGCAATTTCCCAAATCTTTTCTTCCTGCATGATTTATCTTTTCTACTAAATTCCCAGGATGCTTAAGATTTCTTCCTTGATTTTCCAGGTGGAGCATGATAGCAAAGAGATGACAGAAAGTCCTACTGCTGCCTTTGTTGTTGTTGCTGCTTTTGTTATGCATTTTTTCTTTCACCATATGGCTACCCATACTTTCAATCTGAAAAGGCACCATGGGAAGAGTCCCCTCAGGACATCTTTTAAAATTTAATGAAAGCATGGAAAGACAAGGCAGATCACTGGAGATAAAATTCTATAAGAAAAAGCAGAACAATTCTGCCAAACCTCTGGCCAACTCATGACGAAATAAATAGAACACTCCACTCTCCATGAGAATGTAATGGAAGTCCTCTTCTCCTTTGGAAGAATACATTTTAAAATAAGTTCTCTTTCATCAAACTGGTAAAAGCAAATTCAGGAGAGTTTTTATGTGTAGTACTAATTTGTAATAAAGACAGAACAAAAATAGAAGTGGCTGTTTTTAAATAAAAGATACACATTTCAGGAAGGGAACTGTGAAAACGCAATTTAATTTACACATAAGATGCAGCAATAAAAGAATCAGAAGTACTATATGAGTCATTCAAGCACAACCTATGTTCCCAGAGAAAGCAAGTCACCTCTGTTCTGTGCAACAAATGCTAGTTGTTCAACATTCAGAGTGACTTCGTGCATCTGCACAAGATTCCTAAACCTTACAGTGAAACTGTAATCTCATTGTTGTATATATGTGTACATTTAACTTGAGTTGTGAATTCAAGCAGACTCTGATTAAATAAACTTGTGAAATCATGACTGCTCTATCTGCAGTTTCCAGTACATTTAAAACTTCTTCAGGCTCCCGTAATCCAACTATGCACATAATCCACATGCATTGGAATTTGAGGCAACAATTTTCGTCATACTACACTACTTAAAAAGTGGTGATAATCAAATATAAGGCGTGGCGTTTGAAATAGCAGAATAGATTTACCATGAAGATGGGACGATTGCTGGAAAAACAGTGATTTCAAAGCCTATTCTTTTGAAGACTTGCCTGATGAAGCAGGACTAAACTTCACAGCTAGAATTATGAAAGTAAAGAAAGTTTCCAATTATTTGAGTGTTAAGAAATTCTATAATGCTACAATTCTGTAGTGAGTTATTATCTGGGAAAAATTGGTCAATGAAAACAGTTGCATTCCCAAAAGAAGTTTCCACAGTTGCATTCCCAAAAGAAGTTTACACATTTGTCAGCTTACCTTTCAAGTTTGTAGGCAGGCTAATAACATTCAGTCCATTCTGCTTTCCCATCATGCCTTATAACCAATTATGTCTTGAGTCCCTCAAAGTCGTAATTTCATTATAGTGATTTCTTGATAGAAAAGTACAAAGAGATTGGCAAATGTTTGAACATTAGATTATAAACCAATACATCTAACTTTATTTATAAGATATATATGGAATCAAGCCTGAATTGAAGACAAATAAGTAGAGACATGAGCCAGACCTTCAGTATGTTTATTCTCGGGCTGGGGTTACATCAATAAATTAAATACAAAAAGGATGAAAAAAAACCCAAAGATGATAAAAACAACAGTTAAAGGAGCATCTAGAAGATTAGATGGTGCCAGAAAAATAGAACAAAGGCATTGTTGCTAATCCTATTCTCATTTTCTCATCACGCCATCAGTTAACAAGCAATAGAAACATGAGATTCTCCCTTCTTCCATCTTGCTCACTTATCAATGTCCCACACCTGATCACTACATTGAAATATCGTAATTCCAATCCTCATGTTATTCACTTTTCAATAATTCTTATATCAATTTATATATTTTTTACTGTCATTTGGAATTTAAATAAACATTCTGCATTCCCCTTAGTTGCCTATTTGCATGTTGTCCTTGTTATTTTAAATGATTGCAAAGAAGAAGATAGTATGAAAGGCGTGAAAACATTCCCACCCTATTATTACCAAACCAGTAGTTGTTTCTATTGTAGCCTGTCTAAAATGCAATTTAAATATACTTCAATAGTTAGGACAGCTAAGGTATTCAAAGCTGAACACTGGTCAGATGGTTTGGACTATTCCAACTATCATGCTTGACATTTCATTTATTGGTGGAATAAGAGGAGGCTGTAGAAGATTTCCATGCTGGGGGAGGCAGCACAAGCAAGATTTATCTGACATTGACCAATCAATTTCAACTTGATAGTTAACCTGAGATTCAGAAATTGAACAGTGAAATGGGGAGAGGATAAATGAAGATAGAGGTGTCACATCATTGTAACACAAGCTCTGCCCTTTCTCTATATGCATAATGACATCACAAGGACATTCAAAAAGACAGAGATCGCTTGTGACAGCTATACACTGTCTGGCATTTTATTAACGTTTCTTTATTATGACTTTATACCAAGAAGGTGCAGTATACTCCAGTACCTATTTCAAATATATACACACACACACACTGCCAAATTCTACAGCTTTGGAGAGGTAAACCTAAAATGGAAGAAAGCAACTTTGTGTGTCTGTATATATTTAAAATACTGGTAGGTACTGGAGTATACTGCACCTTCTGGCTGTAAGGTCATAATAGCAAAGTATGAAAGATAATAATAACGATTACAAATATTAATACAATTCTTCAATTACAACTAAGAGGAACAGAACAAATCAAAGCAGAAAAACAAGCAACTTGGCAGTATATATCAAAGACCTGACCACACAGAAGAAATGACAAATATGCTTTATACTCTCTTCCAGGATATTTTTCAAAATGGCATAAATGTCATCTGACATTCCCCATAAAAGAGGAATGAAAAGAGGAGTGCATGGCTCAAGGACTCTGCTGAATTATGCCCATAAGGGTCTATGCACTGATGTAGGGGGATATTTTTATAATGCTCCAATAAAGCTACAGATAATAATGTGAACAATAGGGCCAAGACGAAGGCCCAACAAATTGTAAAATTATAATGAAAGAAAGATAGGGTAACCCTTTGGGGAAAAAAAGTCCATGGACTGTGAGATTATATATTAGGCGTAGGCTGATTTGAAAATCAGCATCTCTACCTGGCAGAGGAAATGCTTGACAAAATTGTCCAGCTTGCAGACGCCTCTGCCAAAATCCAAATAAATCCTGAAGTGTAAATGCCTCCACTAGTTCTGTTAACTTTTTAAGTCTGACTGAAAATGGGTTAAGCCACCTACAAGACTGAAACAGCAGCCATCTGCTTCTTTTTGAATAATCAATATGTGCAAAAAAGTATTTCTAGATGTCAAAAACATCCCTATTATACAATGCTTTATTGCATTAAGATCTCCATAATGAGTTCATGGCATGGAGACAGAGTGCAGCTTTGAGACTTCCACTCCATATATCGAGTACTTCCTCCTAACAATAAGACAAGAAAGCCAATATCCAGTGCTTTTCTTCCCACACCCTGAGGGCATCCACAGTCCCCTCATATTGGATCTCTTCCTCTCTAAAGGATTCACTGGTGGACCAAAAAGAAAGAAACCATCACACTTTCACCAATTGTGCATTTCCACCATTTGGCCTGGAAGAGGAAGCTGACAGAATTATTGTCATTTTCACCTGGCTATGTAGATCAAATTTCTCCCATAGACACTGTTAGCCAGCCACTTATTTGCATTATTTTTCTTTCTCTCTCCAATTCTCTTTCACAGATGGATGAGAACACCATGAGGGCACCCTAGTTCTTGAGCTTCCTTTCAAGTTGTTCAAAATTCACTGTTATATGTTCTAGCTACTATATTCTTTGCAGTACTATTTATCACCAAATATAAGAGCAATAATGGTTAATTGCCAATTGATAAGTGTTGAAAGTTGTTTTGTCACATCCTTGATTTATGCTCCTGACACATATTTGTTTTGACTTTAGTTCTCATTTCCTATCAGATTAGCAAACTATACTTTTCAGTTAAGAGAAAACAAAATATGCCATTTTTATAATTATCCAACTAAATGGAAAATATACAATAATCCGCTCGTTTCAGATAATTGAATAAATAAAGAAAAAATTAAAATGTTGACATAGAATTTGGCAGAAAAGCAATACCTGTTTTTACAACATTGTTTAGCATTATGTTGTGGCCCGCCAGCAGCCTGCGCGGATCGTGGCTGATCCCGATGACGAGGAGGCTGGTGTGGGGTTGCATCAACCGCTGGCGCAGCCGGCGCAGACAGCAAGGAGGCTGAAGAGGATGTGGTGTCAGAGGCAGAGACTCAGCCAGGGCCTTCAGAACCTCCAGTGGCTCCTTCAAGTGGAGAGAGCGAAGTGGAGGAGTCTCTCCTCAGTGCTCGAGCATGCAGGGCTGCCAAAAGGCAGTGGCTACTCAGGAGGAGGAGGTCTCCTCAAGAGTAAGGTTTGAGGATAATTGGCCACTCCCTTAGCCTATTTAAGTCGCACGCAGTTAGTAATTTCTTGCTGAAAACAATGTGTAATTATTACAGAGCATTTTGGAGAGTGAGTGTCTTATCGTATCTTGTTTTCTGGGCTGGTTGTCAACCTTTGCCGGACTTTGTTTATTCTTGGTATGTTATAACTTTGATAAGGACCGTTGGTGTGTGTCACAATCCTTGGGAATCCGGAGCTGGGGCAGAACACATTACTTGTAAGAAATATTTAGGAACTTGCTTGACAAAATCATATCTGCTTTACAAGCAGAAATTCCCAGGTAGAATTCCCAGCACTTACAGGTATATTTGGAAATGTTTTAGACTGAAATGATGCTTTTTGTAATAAGAGCTTTTTCGTTAGTTTATCATACTCTCTTGAAGGTTCCAAACAATGTTTATCTAACACAAATGTATTCTATAGACTCAGGACTGTTTTTGAAAGTAACAAAACAAAAATCAAGTATAATCCCCATAAATATTATCTAGAATCAATTAAATCAGTCAATCAGTCAGTCAACCTTTATTTCACTCAAAGCCCAATACAGATAAAATAATTAACAAACTATTTAAAAGTTAAAAAGAGAAGGGCCAAGCATAAAATACAGGCTAAAAGAATAATACAGGTAGTCCTCAATTTACAACAGTTCATTTAGCGACCATTCAAAGTTACAACAGCATTGAAAAAAGTGACTTATGACCACACTTATGACCATTGTAGCATCCCTATGGTCATGTGATTTACATTTGGATGCTTTTTTTTTTTTTAATTTGATTTATATGCCGCCCTTCTCCGGAGACTCAGGGCGGCTTACAATGCGTTAAGCAATAGCCTTCATTCTTTTGTATATTTTATACAAAGTCAGCTTATTGCCCCCACAAACTGGGTCCTCATTTCACCTACCTTAGAAAGGATGGAAGGCTGAGTCAACCTTGAGCCTTGGAGAGATTCGAACCAGCAGAAATTGCAGGCAGCTGTGTTAATAACAGGGTGCATTAAACCACTGTACTATCAAGGCTCCTTGATAGTTATCAAGGATGCTTGATAACTGACTTACATTTATGTCGGTTGCAGTGTCCCACAGTCATGCGATTCCCTTTTGCAATCTTCTGACAAGCAAAGTCAATGGGGAAGCCAGGTTCACATAACAACTGTGTTACTAATTTAACAACTGCAGTGATTCACTTAAGAACTGTGGCAAGAAAGGTCGTAAAATAGAGCAAAATTCACTTAATTGCCTTGCTTAGCAACAGAAATGTTGTGGTCAATTGTGGTTGTAAGTTGAGGACTACCAGTATAGAATATTGTTGTCATTACTGTCACCACTGTAAGCTATGTCTCTAAGACCAAAAAAAACCCCAGAATATTATTAGTCTAAAACTAAGCTATAAAGCTAAACATCTAAGACAGAAGTTAGAATAAAGTGATATCTACCTAAATATATTTGGTATTGTTCAAACGTTAGCCATGATTATACTTTTTTTTTTAAAAAAAAATTATTTTATAAACAAACATACAATACATAATCATCATTCAGTGTATCATCTAGATGTTTCTATTATGTCTTCATCTTCTTCTTCTTACTCCTCCAATCTTCATCGTTTCTTTATTTTTCCCATTTCTTTATTATAACATTCTCCCCATACTTCATTTATTATAACATTTTCTTGTTTACTATTAATACATTTATCTATATCTCTTCTCTAACCAATTGTAAAATTGTCTCCCTTGTAATATTCCGAATCCTCTCTTTCTTTAATTATCAAAGTGAGTCTATTCATTTTCTGCACAATCTAATATTTTCTTAATTACTTCATCTTCTGAAGGGATTTTCTCTACTTTCCATCTTAGTAGTATCTTCCAAATACTACCCTCGCTTCAGTTATTACATGTATAATCAAATATACCTTTTCTTTGCTAATTTTCTCTGGAAGGATACCCAATAGGAACAGCTCAGGTTTTAAATCAATATGTTGTTCAAGCATTTCTTCTAACCATGTTTTAATTCTAATCCAATAATTTCTCACTTCTGGACATGTCCACCACATATGATAGTACGATCCTGGTGTCTGATCAGCCATGATTATACCATATTGAGGGGTGAGGTTTGGTCATCTTAAATCAGTTAAATTTTATACGTAGTAAATGTCCCCCAATATTGAGCTGTAATATTCAAAGTCCCTTTAGAAAATATGGTTTTGAGTGTCTTGAAGAACATCAGAAATATAGCCTCTCCTGGGACTTCTGCAAACTCTTTCTAAGAGTTCATATTCCACCAACAAAATCAAGCACAATCAGGCAATCCCTAATGTGATTCAAGTGATGTATAGTGGAAAACCAGCACTCTGAACATAGCCCCAAACTTACTAGCAGTCAGTGCAGTAACCATAAAATAGACATTAAAGTACAGTTTCCCAGTATAATTTCCCAAACACGCATCAAGTGCTTTGATTCCATAAATATATTACAGAAAGACTTCATAAATTATAGTTCCTTTGTCAGATGCCTTAATTAATCCATTAATTTGATAAAAGCATATTTACAAATTTACAGAAGTAGGAGGGTGGAGTTTCATAAAGTAGTGCCGAAATGCCAGGAAAACTCAAGAGACACAATTAGCATATTACAAAATGATCCGGAGCTGCAATATAAAATTAAATTATACACCTAATAACTTAAAAGGGCATTTCTAACGTATCATAAGGTAGGTCTCTGGTCTCTAAAAGCTGATTCCTGGCATTCGTGTGTTTTGGCCTATCACAATTATTTGTAGCTGGAACTGGCATTTATTTGTTTGCATTGCCAAAAATCACAGATGATAGACAATAAAGAGCATCTAAGATTTTTGCATCTCTTCCTACTTCTGTGTATGTGTCTTTGTGTCCCTTATAATGTTATATTTTTTTAAAAAAACCCTTTCCCAAACAATAGTCAAGATGCAAAGGGGTACAGCAATGCTGCAGTACTTTTTCTTGTTGTTTTTAAACATACCTATGGAAATACAAGCCCAGAATTTAAACTTTGCTTTAAACTTCAACCAAAGGACTCCTTTACCACTTTGGGGATACAGATTGTTAGAATTTGTCCTTTCTGGCTAGGTTCTTGGTTCCTGACATGATTCAAGTAAAAGAAATGAGTAGTAAAAGCAAGGAGTTGAAGAACTCTTTCCCTATATGTCAACTCAGGTGTGAATCAATGGGAATGTACATTGTGATGCAATCCTTCTCTATGGTTCCATTCAGCAGAATGAATAGGAAAATTCCTGGACCTAACAGAATTACTAACCACAATTTTCATGTGAGCTAATCCAATGTTTTTCTTCCTAATGTTTTCATGGAAGTGCAGGGTCTGTTGTTTTTTTAAGACCGATATGCATATTACCAACGAAATAAACTCTCTTCTCAGAGGATTATTAAACCCAGTTTAAAATTAGTGATTTGCACCTCTGCCAGATGATCTTACTTTTTCAGACAGAATCCTTGCTAACAGACAAACAAACAAGAGCTAGACAGGGCTCAACTTGAAGCAGGGAAATGCACTTCTACTCTGGGGGTATGCTTTCACTAGAGGAGTCCCATGTTTCTATTTTCTTTACAATGTAAAACAGAAGTATGTCTATTCCATGTACATCTCTATAAACTCACACAGACAAAGAAATGTATAGAGAACTATCACTTATATTACTGTTGGGAAAGAGATAGTAATCTTGGCATGACACTCATAGGAATATTATGATAAAGTATTTGTTCCTTTTTTACATTTCTTCTCCAGGTTTATTCTCAACATGGATATTTTGATTTGACATAGAAAGGACAAAAATATTTTAACTATGTAGGCAGAATGCAAAATGTTGGTAGCATTTGTGGTAAGTGTAAAATTAGAAGCTATGTTTTTGCATTGTCTTCTTTCTTGAAATGTTTCTTAGTTCTATTTGGGTACTTCATTAGGTGTGGGTGTCTTTTTACAGAAATTTTGAAAGATTAATTGGTTGTGTTCCCTTCCATTCTTACTTTGAATGGTGAATCAGTAAATCATGTCTTGCTAAAAGCCTCTTAAATTGGTCAGTGCAAGCTGTGTTCCAGAATGGTTTTAAAAGTTTAATTATCAGTGAGGACAAATATTTGTGCTTCTCTCTCATGTTTATCATACTTATTTTTCTGTATAAATACTGCAGACCTTCCTAGAGGTATGAAAATAAAAGTAATCATGAAAGGGTTGAAGGACAACAAATGCTTCTGTTTTCAAAATTTTGTTCAGTATGAATTTAGACTGAAAATGATTCTTCTGAATTAAATTGTATATTTCAACAGGGGTTTTTCTTAAATACTGGTTCAAGTTAGATACTGTACGTGTAGAAATTATTACTAGAGTTATCTGTATCCTATTTAAATACTTAATTAAACTATCAAGCTCTTCACTAATACTAGAAGTGATCATTTACAAGGGACAATGATTTTATGACACTGATGAAGAAGTCTGAACTCTCTGACTATATTAGGGTGAATGAATCACAAAGTTTCCTCATGAGTTAATTAGAAAGTCATTTTCCTAATATAATGAAGTTGTACTTGATTACATAGGATTGCTGTGGCTGTCAGATTTATTACATCTCCAGATGGTCTGCTGAGCATCTATTCCACCCACTCTCCACAAAGTTTTTTCATCATATTATGAGGTGAGACTATAAAGTTATAATACCAATCAGCTTCTGTTGGATTAATACTTCTTTGAGAATTGCTTCTAACTTGGAAAGAGGGAGGAACCTCAAGAAGATACAATTTACTTTTTGGGACTACAATCAGTTCCACATGACAGATGATTAATTGTCTGACAAATGACAATTAATTAACTTAGACAGAGGCTGTTAAGAGCCAATCCTAACGAAACATTATGATTATTATAGACAATTTGTCCCTTAGATCAATGAGAACTGTTCAGTTCTTAAACTGACTGCTTATCATAAAGACCATAAATAGCTTAGAAAGAATGAAAACTGAGGGCTGGAAAAAAAGTTTAGATTTTCATAACAAGAAAAAAATGTTCCCAGGATGTTCCGTTATGATCTTGGCACATGATTGTTAGGATATTTGTTTATTTTTTTCCCCAGGGACAATAATTACAAAACAATTCTCCCAAATGCTTTCCCTAAGATGTTAACCACTGTGCCTTCTCTCTCCCATCAGGATCTAATTATGTCATTGCACAATCATTATTATAAAGTGAATATCTTCTTAGAGTTATTGTGCTCCTGCCCTCTGGAACATTTTACCCGCTGATGTGAAGTTGGCCCCAACCCTCCTATCTTTTCGTAAGGGCCTAAAGATGTGGCTTTGCCAGTCAGCTTGGGGCCCCAGTGGATGAACAGTGCAATGGAGGTGGTTGATTAATAACAGATCCTATCTCCCCCCACACACACTCCCCCCCTCCTTATTTGTCTTTGGTTTAAATATTTGATTTTAACTTTGTAATGTTTTAACTTAGATGTAACTGTTAGCCGTCCAGAGTTACCCTATGATAAGATAAATTATACATATATATATATATATATATATATATATATATATATATATATAATAAATACAAGTGGCATATAATTATTATTCAGTATTTGTGATGATCTAATACATTCTTAAAATTTTATGTTGAGGAATAATGTCTTTCTCGATGTTTATTCAAAGCACAATATTTTCTGTTAGCTAAATATCCCGCCTAAGAAATTGCCCTTATTCTTTCAGTCACCTACTTGATCTGGCAAGGAAAGACAGATACTCATGAGAATTGCTTTTTACTAATTGGTCTAGAAACAAAACACTCTCTCACCTTTATCATATCTGAATCACCTCTAATACAGAAATGCTCAATTGCATTGTACAGAAGATACCATTGCTAATTGGACTCCCACATTTCAATTTCCCAACCTGTCAATTTCCAGAATTACAGGTACATACTCCCAAATTGGAATGCTAAGGAATTTTCATAATCGTAATTTGTATCTGGAAATGTGTTTGTATCTGCCAGCCTATAAACTGCTATTCCATAGCAACGCTCTACTATTCCATAGCAATGCTCTACTATTCCATTCGCCTTTTTCTTCATTGCTTCATTAAAATAATTGGCACATACTTATCCTTATTTTAAAAGAGCAAGAAAAATAGAAATGCAGCTACTCCGCCATTCATATTGTGTTCACTTGGTATTTCAATATTAAATTTAAATTATAGTCCGTTGGCTGTCACTAATCATCTGGAAAATATCTTAAAAGTATCAATACAGAGACCTCATTAGATTTTTTTTCTCAAGAAAAATGTCCCTCCATACTTGTAATGAATAAGATAATATAAATATCACCAGTTTACATTACAGCTTTTAGTATGGATTGGCAAATAATGTATATCTCTGCATTTTAAGAGAATTGTCTCTTACTCTGGGAGAATTAATACCTAGATGTGCTAACAAACTTGCATATATATACAAGAGAAAGACCACTATTAATTCATAATATATTTTACAATCAATATGCAAAAAAGATACATTTTAAATTTAAAGAACAATATTATTTTCTTGGTTTTTCCTGATGCATGTACATCTTTAAAAATCATTTTAAGGCATTGTTTAATTTCACAATCAAAATTCAGTTCAACTAAATTTCTTTGCTGTATAAGGTTCAGCATAATATATGTTCCCAATCTATCATTGATCCGTCCTTATTTATTCAGCGATCAATAGGGAAAATTTAAACGGTGTTCCAAATCTTTCCTAATAGACTTTGAGGTCAGTAGAATATGTTTTTGTTTTTTCAAATAGTGATTGTTTTAAATGTGGATCACTTTTCATAATTTAGCCAATCACCTGTTAATTCACTCAGGTTATATTGTATTCTCTGTTTCTGTACAAAATATGCCCAACACAGCAATTGATCCATAATTAGAAGGAAAACCATGATGTCTGACATAATTATCAGCATATTTGAATCTGTAATTACAAACAAACAGAAAAGTCAATACTAAGTGGGGACCAGAACTTTCCCATTCTTTGTTATAATTCTTTCATGAATTCAAGATTTACCAATAGAAATAGAACACCATGCTTAACTGTTATCATTTGCTTTGCTCATCATTAAATTAATATTATGGATATTCAAAGCATTTATAGATCATGGACTTCTAGCCCTTACAAAAAATGTAAATATAACAATATTGCTTCTGAGTAGTCTTGATCATTTATGCCATGTGGATGGATTTCCCATAGATCTCAAGAGAATAAAATGCTGGGCCTTGGTCTGATTCACAAGTTTTTGAGAGCCATTGTTTTCAGTTTAAGCGGTATCATTAGAGCATCCACTGTTATTTTTATTTGGAAACGTACAGCTTTCAATGGGAGTTATTTCTTAAAGCAGTGTTTTTCAAACTTGGAAGCTTTAAGATATGTGGACTTCAAGTCCCAAAATTCCCCCACCAGCAATCTGGAAGTTGAAATCCACACATTTTAAAGTTGGCAAGGTTGAGAAACATTGTTTTAAAGTCATCATGTAATGCATATTATTCAAACTTACCATTTGCAAAATCTCTATCATAAATGAGTAGGTGCGTCCCCATACAGAATAGACAGCTGTAACATTCTGTTGACACATCTATAAATACATTATTCATTCATTCCTATGAGTTATTAATGACCACATGATTCTCAAGTGACATCGAAAATCCTGTCCACAAGCAAATGATGACAGATAATAAATAATACAAATAAATAATGTATCACTAGCAGGCAATGAGTGTTTGGCTTAAAGAACAATAATCTTACTTTTGTTGTATTTATTTTTTCCAAAAACGTAGCCTCTATTCCACAGACATCTCTTATTTGGTCATTCCATGTTTCTTGGTCAAGTGTATCTTATCTCTGTCAGCAAAGCATTGAACCACGAAGGTCAGCATTATTGGAAAGAATCATGTTATTAAGAAGTTTTTTTTTTTTTTTTTTAAAAAAGGCCCTGAAACATAAAAGTCAAGACTATCTTTGCTTCAAGCAGCTCTAAAATGAGCATTCAGGAGGGAATAATTCTGTTCCAATATACTGTGGAAGATATTAGCTTTGAATGGGGCAACTTGCCAAAGCTTTTAGCAACTTATAAATCTTGTGCACATGGAAAGTCTAGATCTCTACATCTACGTAATAAGTAAGGTGTGTAGATCAGTGTAAATCTCTGTGGTTATATCTCTCTGTGTTACCAAAATGGGAAGGAAGTTGTTTAAGATTTGTTTTAAAGTGCATTTAATTAGAAAAATCTGCTTTCATTAAGAATTTTCTCTGACAGGACTTCCGGCTTGCTTCTCGTTGCTGCCAGACGGTCCCTCGGGACCGCCAGCCCCATCGCCTGTAAAGAGCCGCCTTTACAACGGAAAGGCGGCTCGAAAAACTCCATTTCCAGGAGGAAATGTGAGATAGAGCAGGTGAGTGTAGGTAGAGCTTTCCGCGAAGCCCCCAGAGTTTTTTTTTTACTCTTGGGGGCGAGCGGATGAGGCTCCCTATATCACTCGCCGTTCGCTCCGGGCATTGGGAGACCTCTGCTTTTTTGCAGAGCAAGGCGACGAAAACAAGCTTTTCAAGAAAACTAACAGACTAAGTAAAGAGGATGAGATTTGGACCTGGACCTGTGACCCTAAATCGCAAGTATTTATACTTATTTTGCAAAGGATATTGAACAAAGTAAAAAAGAACTTTTAAAATGGCGACTGCCGAAGTTTGAGCAGGGAAGCTGAAAAGGGAAAATCCTTCCGTTTCTTATTAAGCTACAAAGTAGCAGAATAAATACTCCTGGCTACAATTGAAGTAAAAGCTCCACTTTTGTGCTTTCTCTTTCCTGGAGATTTGATATTGATCTTGTTTGGAAAGAAGCTTTTTTCTCTTTCTTTGTTTTTCTTTTCTTTTTTAAGAGAGTTTGTCTGTGTGGACATATGGCGTTCAGACTTACAAAGCCAGACAAACAAGCAGTGGGGGGGGGATTCCCCCATCTATAAACTACATGAACAAGTTCTAAACCTACAGACTCAGAAAACTGATTTTAATATAATTGAATTTCTCTTGGAGGAGATTGTAAGAAGGGATGAGATTGTGAATCAGAACTTTGAAAAATTTAAGCAGGAAATTAAAGAAATGGTGCAATTAAAGTTTGATATTTTGCAACGAAAGATTGCAAAAGTGACTAATGGTTTTTCAGAAATTGTTATGAAGTTGGGTACAAATATTGACTTATTAGAGTCTAAAATGGAGGAAATTGAGGATAATTTGGACAATAAAATACAAAGAACTGAAAATGATTTGATAAACACTCAAGGTAATAGCTTAGAAGAAAAACTTAAAATGGAAGCTGATCATAAGACTTGTAATGCAGAAAATATAAAACAATGGATTGAAAAAGAAGTTTTAATGATGCAATATAATCTCACAGAATATGCGATTAGACTGAGAGGATTACAGGAAAACAACAGAGATGACTTAAGGAAAATATCTTTTGAAATTCTGGCTGGGATCTTAAAGGTTCATCCTGAGGAAGTATTTTGTAGGATTGACAGAGTTTATAGAATAAACTCCTGGATTGCAAAGCAAAGGCAATTGCCAAGAGATGTGGTGATTTATTTTACAGACAAAGAAATAAGAAATAATATTGTGCAAAAATCT